TTTTGATCAGGTTGAAAATCTCTTCCCGTACCCTTTCGACTGTCTCTCGCCATGAGGATATCCGATAATTGAGAGTCGAATTCCTTCAGAGTATCATTCCTTGAACTAGGCTGAAGCGGACAACAAACAACAGATTTGTCATCGCTCCATCTGCCTGTGAACGAGGTAACCAACCGCATATCCGAAATTTGCCAAATTCCTCGTATGAGGAAAGAAAACTTCTCACATAGAGTCAGTGGGCATACTTGACAAGAGAAGTTTGGCAAATTTCGGATATGTTGTTGGTTAACTCGTTCGCCGGCAGATGGAGCGATGACAAACTGGTTGTTTGTTGTCCGCTTCAATCTAGTTCGAGGAATGATACTCTGAAGGAATTCGATTTTCAATTATCGGAAATCATTAACTTTATGTTGATGATAGACACTACTTTGCACTGACGAGTGGCCAAACAGCCCGAAACAGGTTTGCAAGTGTGTTCCAATAATCTAAAATCAATTGCGGCAGTTGTATCGCCAACACCATATGCAGGAATAACTCCAGTGAAGAATCCTGCACTGACACCTGTTGAATATAATCCAACGCCCTTCGTGGTATTAGCCAGGGGAGTAGTTGTTTACTGATAGGCATCAGTCCATTAACCTACAGTGTAGGGAGTTGAGACTGGTCTGAACGAATTGTTCCTTTAGATGATTTGATTTATAGCCAGTCATAAAGTATGCCCACTGACTATTTGTGTAAAACATTTCACGCATTCGAACAATGCACTTCAATTAAATATTTCCTTTACACTTGAGAGTTTACAAAAAAGCGACACGTATGACGCCCGAAGATGCTTTTATATAGTGAAACACTTTGAATTATTTTTTGAATTGGGATTTTCATCAAGTATGGGCCAGTTCTATCATATTTTTAAAACATTTTACCTATTGCCAAAAAAATTATCTGGGGTATCACGATGGAATCTGTATATTTCCTCTCGACTGAATATCCTGAATTTTTGTTGTTGTTCACCCAACACCTTGTATTCTTGAAATTGCAGTTGTGGAAATTTGAATATATCAACATTGGCTGATATGGGTTTTAGCAATGGTTAGATGACGATGGTGGTGATACCTGTGCTTTGAAAAATAACAATCAAGTGTTATTGTAACATGAAATACTTAATGATGACCCTTAAAGAAAATACGTATTACAGGTGACCCAATACTTATTTAGGGGAAACGATCAATTTGGTATTGATCTTAAAGCATTCGATATTCAAAGGGGAAGAGACCACGGACTGGCCACTTACAACGACTTTAGAGAATTTTGGAACATGCGGAGGGCCGAGAGGTTCGAAGATTTTTTGGACCTTATAACTAAAGATGTGAGTACCGATGTTTTTTTTTAATTATCCGTCAAAAATCATCAGCACTGTTCTAGAGTTTTTCAATCCCTGATATATCTGAGTCGATGGAGAATAGTCAAAATGTGATCCTTATGAGCCGTAAACACACTTTTATGGGGTCAGAAATAGAGAAGAACCTTATAGGCAGCAAGCACCGAGGGGGGTTAGAATTAGAAAATCTGTTCTAGCCTCTCACCGTCTGTTGAAAGTGGTGCTCGTGAAAATATTGGAGAAGTAAGGACATCATTCACGGGCGTGGTAAATTTGTCAGAAAATCTTGCAAGTCTGTTATAAATTCAAATACTAATTATGACACAAATATTTTCTATTCAAAGGCCGTCTGGTTCAGACGGTTCAGAAAGTAAATATCTTGAAGTAAGGAAGACGAACAGAAATTTATGACTTTTGCATATAGATGTCACTTTTTTCGCCCCACTATTTTTGTACGGCATTTAAACAGAAATAATTTCTTATAGTAATCAATATCTGAATTCATAGAAGCCGTACAAGATTCTTTAAGAAATTATTGCTCCCCTGAGTTGTGTTTTCACTTTTCCAAAATTATCATCTGCACCACTTTCAACCGACTACATTGGGCTGAAACTCAATTAACCCCTTGAAAATTCAGTATTAGGTTGAGGGGGTGTAGTTATGTTCAGTGGCGGATTAACACATTTGCCGCCAGTAGGCTGTTCAAATTTTGCCGCACCTTTTGACCTCTGCATTTCGATACCCTACACGGACAAAAGACGGTGGACGAAAATATAAAAAAAAGTATTAGCAGATTGACAAACGTAAAATTCCCCACTTTGACAGGTTCAGTTAAGTGGTGAAATTTAATAAAATTTCGGGATTTATTTATTTTTCATTTCTGTAAGATGAAAAAAATGTTTTGGGACAAATTTGCCGCCCCCTAAAATTCGTCGCCCTAGGCTCAAGCCGACTCATCCTGCTGGTAAATCCGCCACTGGTTATGCTACTTTCTAACTGAAGTAACTAACTAACTGGGAGTACGGGGCTTTGGTGCCATATTATCATTAGAAATATATGAAATGATCGGTAACCTTGAAGAAACCCATATGATTATTAGTGAAATATTTTCTTCAATTACACTCCAGTATTAAATTCAAGGAAATGGGAATGTCTGATAGATCTGTAAAAAATTATTGTCTCTCGGTCAATCCCGACAAATCATGTGTCATGCTATTTGAGCATATTGCCATTGAATTGCTACAACAAAAGTCAATGTCACTATCAAATATTTTTGTGATCCCTGCTGGAAATCATTCGAGAATTCCGTTGATTTAGAGTTAGAGTTCTAAATAAACTACAAATTTTACTGTTCCTGAAACCATTTATGTCTCAGAAACTGAAAAAGCTCGCATACTCTTTCACAAGAGAATGACTGCTTCAAAACGAAATTATATATAGTTCCAAAGAGATAATCAATGGCTTCCAGATTTCTTTCATATTCCGGTCTTTCGAATACTATGGATGAAAGTCTTGAAGACGATTCTATCGAATACTAGGAGAAACTTCTTTCATTTCGTACCCAAAAGTGTCTAAATTCCGTATGATGATGGCAAACGCAAAATACTTCTAGCGAGTATTATAAAAGAATACTTGAATCAAACTGTATTAAAGATCATTATGATTTCCTACCACGTACCTAGTAACGGCTACATCCATCAATTAATCGATTAATTAATCATCATCTTCATCTTCATCACGAACGAGTCTCTGTGTGATGGCGTCATGGCAACAGAATTCAGAGTGGGACGGAGTGAGAGAGTAGTAGATAGAGAAAAAGTGAATAGAGAATAGAGGAATAGAAACTCGGAGAGGTGAATATAGGTATCACACAGCTGCACGCATTAAACTTTATCGATGAATTTTTGTTATTTCAGCTTGCGGAAATCGTCAGATTATATATTTTTCGTTATCTTTGCAATATTTCCTTCAAAATAAAAAAAATTGCTACGCTCGAGAATGTCGAAATGACGTTTTTTTTTACAACTTTGCTGCCCCCCCTTTCTTTACGTCACTCTCAAATTGTCAGAATACTGGAATATACACTTTTTAGAAGGAAATTAACTCACTCTACCTCAATCTGACGCACTCGAGAATTTCTGATGATCAATTTTTTTTTACTAATCTGATCCTTTATCCCTCACAGGCGGCCTTATGGATATGGGGCTCATATTTGGTGGAGGTACTTAACCGGGTACAAGGTATCTCCCTGTATATTAATCTGCCGCACTTTAGTAAATCCCGAAATCCCCGCTTGGGCTCCCCTATTATTATGAGACCCTAGCAAATGTGTGGATCACTACTACCATAGATAATGGGTGACATCGAGATTGGTCTGAAATGTCGTAGAAAACTGAGGAAACTAGAAAACAGGAATAGATTGACTATATACTGTGTGCCACTCAGATATCTAAACAGAATGAAACTTAACAACAGAGGTTGTCATATTTTATGCGATTGTGGTGCTTTGGATCACAAGAGTCAAACAATATATGGACAACCCAAATCATGACCGCAAGAATCCTGTACAGACTAGTTCGAGAAAGAAGATTGTTGGAATGAGTGTCATGAAAACGATGGAGCAAAATGCAATGAGCTCTTGAGAATGCACTGTTTTCCAGGAACTTGAACGAGTTGGAGGGCTCCCAGAGAGCGAATAAAAATGCTAGAGTGGATAGCACATTTTCCTAGAAAGACTTTCGACTATGAATTGACGGAAACTCAAATCTAGTCAAACTGGATTTTTTGACATTGGTATATTGCGAAATCGTTATTGGACATCAGTTGACATGAGAAAAATCATCTGTCTTCTTACAGCTTCCACTACGAAAATCTATATAGATAAAACTCTTGGGTAAAACATCACCACTAAGGATCCAGAGAAATAATCTGCAAAACACTGGCACTGTTATCATGTCCAATATGAAAAATTGGTTAGGGCTTTGCCTCAAAAGTTTTTGGGTAAATTATAGAAATTTGAAGTTTTTACTCTGAATGCGATGTCAGACCTTCTTTGAAGAAACTGATTTTGATAGTTCGTACTGGAACCTCTGGCGTAAAATGAATCTGTTGAAAACACTCTCCCAACACCAGAACAAAATTACGGTCTCTCAACGCGCGTCGAGATCTGAACAGAGAATATATTTTTGTAACAACCCTATAAACTTTAAAAAGTCTAAAATTTTTGGAAGTCGGTCTTGACCTAATCATTTGCATTTGTAAAATTTTTCACAAAAGTTCTCATCATTAACTATATATCATTCAGATCTAAAGCAATTCAATTCCAAAGGCTGGAAAATATACACATATCTCCATTATTTTTGTATTAACTTTTTAACAAAGCTGAAGGAACAATTTCGAGATAAACGATGTTTGTTTAGTTTCGTTCAAAAGAAATAGTTCTCTGGAAATTTGGAGAAAAGTGAAGTATTCTGAAGATTATTTTGAATCAATATAGTTTTTTGAAACTTATTTTTTTGACAATGATATATTTTAAAACTGAATTCAACTGAATTTTTGTCTCTAATGAAATCATTTCAGACACAAGCCTTGATTTTTCATTGACTTTTGGTATTCATTTCAGAGCATTACAAGGCAAGATGTTGTTCACCAGATGGACAACTCTTAGAATTAGCCAATGTACCAGAACACTGTTTTCCAATAATTGTGCCATATAATGACCCATATCATTCTCGTAATGGAACCAGGTGCATGAGTTTTGACAGAACTATAACCAACAGGGACAGAAGATGTGTGGGTGGTTCTGAACCAGCTGAACAGGTGAGTAAATGATCATGTTCACAAGGTGACGAAAATATCGCATTCTCAGATTTGTTTTAATTCAGATTTGAAATATTCATAATTTATCTCTACTTTGAAAAACCTCAATGAATTATTTAACTTTCCGTAAAATCTCTATTCATACATTTCTGACGTGGAATACAGTACAACATTAAGAGTAAAAAATGAAGAAAATTTAAGTTACATGCAGTTCACCCCAATGAAATCACTCATTCTTAACGCAATATTCGGTTCCCCTCCTAGAAATGAAATAATCCCATAACTTTCTGATATCTTCACCACACTTTCTCTTTGAGTTAACATTTCTATCTTTTCTATCTTCACCTTTTTTGAATTTTCAATCTGGTTATCTTCCATAACAACTCTTTTCACTGGGATTTCATGAAACTCTTCTTTTGGGAAAAATCGTTTTGGCCTTCTACTTCTTCATCTTGATACAAAAAATATGTGGCAATATTCTAAAGAAAGAATGAAAGTAATTATTTTCAAAAATGTAACTCTATGTAAAGATATGTAGATCATGTAAAGAAGTAACTTTCAGACACAAACTGAAAGAAAAAGCCCTCTGAAAACAGCTGCTTTCATATAATTCTGAATTCTACAAAAACAATTTTCTTCATTCAGTTTGTATTCCAAATATTCGTTATGGAGTTGGATCAGATATCATTCACAAGATTGCTACACGATGTACTGAGTGAAAGTAAAATTTTACTTACATAGAATACTGTCATCCTCACTGGTAGACATCCGATGTTTCGCCGTAAGACTCTTGCCTTATCAGCTCTTCAGTACCAAATCTGTTATGTTATGTTACCCAAATTTGATAGTGAAGAGCTGATAAAGCAAGTGTCTCACGGTGAAACAACGGATGGAAAAATAAAGAGTCAAAAACTTTCTTTCCCAAAAATCAGTCTCTCCTTGGAATATACTCCTTTCATGGGTGAATATGCTTGTTGTATTATAATTTGGTCGAATGTTCAACCACTATTGAATATCAACGTTGAAAGAGACGTACCAGCCCACCAATTTTTGTTTTCATCTTGGCTTATCATGGAATCCCATCTCTTCCCAAATTACCAATACTTTTTCTGATGAACATTCGACATTTACCTCCCATTCAGAACTTTGTCACCAATTCATAACCCACGAGGCCTCTCTTGACTATAATTGTGAAGTTCCATAAAATTTTTCTTCTTAAACTTAATCGTTAGTCAATTCCTCTCTTTTTGGATATATTTGTGCTTTGTTACCAAATGATGTCTATGTGAACATAGTGTAATAACTGCCATAGTGATAGTTAACGAAAAATATCCTTTTATTCATAAAGATGGGGGTCGGTCACCCAGTTTTTCGATATCGATATTTGTCCAACAGAGTAAGCGTTGAATTTAATTTATGGTTGGTGATTTTTGACGGCATCATGAATGGTTATGTTTCGTTCAAAGTAGATTAAACAAACGTATCCTGTTGATAAGTTATAATACTGGGACAGGAAATTCGACCATATCTGAATAGGTAGACCAAAAATCTATATAAAATAAGAACTGACCAATGACTTCAATGAAAAGAAGATATAGGTCTTGAGTAGGAAGGGTTGTGGAAAAATTCGGGAAAATTAACCAGAGATCAGACCAATCAGGGGACGGCACAAGGAAGGAGTGTTAAGGACAGTTTTTCGGACTTGGGAATTCTAATTAGTCGATTAATTGGGAGATTGGCGATCGGACAGTTCCGGAACAGGGTTGTGAAAGTCACTTGCGGAAGAGGGTCGCAAAAAGAGATTTTGCGATAGAGGAGTTGCGAAAATAGTCCTTAGTGAAAAAGAGTTTCGAAAGTTGATTGGGGGACACTTGCGGAAGAGAGTTGCGGGAAATCGGTCGTGAAAGTGAATTGCTATAGAGAAGTTGCGAAAGTCAGTTGAAAAGTCAGTTGTGAAAAGATTCCTTTGCGATAGAGAGTTAATTTGGGAGAGTCGCGAAAGGGAGTGGCGAAAGTCAGTTGCGGAAGAGGGTCGCCACAAGGAAGTTTCCGAAAAGGGATTTTTTGATAGTGGAATTACGGTAAATTGCGGGCAGTGAGTTTATTGCGGTGTTGCGTTTGGTGGCACTTACAAGGGATGTATAGGTATTTCACACGGATACCATACCAGAGAGGGGGAACAGAACCCAGTATAGTATCGTGAGCCGATTTGGATTTTTACTAACACCCATGTTGATTTAGAGAAAGAGAGGGTGACATTTCAATTTTGTAATATATAAAGGACAATAAATTACACTACACCCCTTTCATATATGGAAATATCAGCAATTAGTACACACGGGTTTGAAGCCAGGCAATTTCAAATAATCACTTCAGAATTTCCGCAAAACTCGAATATAGTAATTCAGGTTTTTCTGTAAGTTGCAATTCTACTTTATGAGAGAATATATAACATTTCACGGGTTGATAAAGAGATAATTCTTTTTGACAATCAGCTATTTGAGACGTGCTTTCTTGTAAAATTTTGATCTTACTTTTCGAACATTTTTGCCTATTGTTTTGTTGGAGTTTCATGTTATATTTTCATACAGTTATCTGTTATGGTCTATAAACATACCCGTTTATTCTTTTTATTAGTTTTTTAATATAAGCCTAATCTGAAGCTTGTTGTTTTTTAATGGCTCACTATTCGAGCAAGTTCCGCACCATTTCAGGGTGGTTGAAAGGCATTTAGCCTCAAGTATTAGCATCCTACCGTGTTTCAGAATGGAACTTAGAACGAAAACCATCTCAAAAAAATACACTGTGTAGTTAGGTTTCAAAAAGACCAGCCCTCGTGCGATCGTCACGAACCCTACAGCTTTTTCGGACCTGCCATGATATTCAAAATTTGATTTGGAGAAATCTGCATCTGGTGACAGCTGCTGCCAAATTAATTCAAAGAAATAAATGAAACAGAAATGAGCATTTATTACACTGAAAACGGTATATACATATATCTTTTATATTACAATGGTGACTGTTAAAGTTTTCGGAACAATCAGGTTGGCTATTTCACAATCACATGCAAGAGTAAAATGTTTTTCATTATTCACGGTGGTTTTTCCTAAATTTCCTCCTGATTACTCGTATTGACTGCTTTCACCATCCTCTTCTATAGGGACCTGTTGGTGCATTGAAAATCAATTTTATGACTCAATCAATGTATCTTATTACCACTTCAATGAAATGAATAAAACCACATAAAAATATCGAGTATACTTGATTATTAAGTATAATTGATGATGGGGTTGAAATCGAAACCTGTCGTATAAATGAATGAAACAAGTGGTAATTAGACAAAAGTGTTTTTATTCATTTCATCAAAATGATCATGAATTACCACAAAATAAACAAGTAGTCATCAATCACACATATCTTATTGCGTTGAAAACATTAACAAAATTTCTCAACAAATTAACAAAAACCTCAAACCGGTCGTAATTAGACAAAAATGTTTTTTATTTTTTTCATCAAAGTTATTAGGAATTTCCACAAAATAAACAAGTCATCAATTCTACAGACTCATTATTGTCCACGCAGGAAGTGAAATAGGCTTTATACCTAATTGCCGGCTTATATTTAAATCAGGCACAACATCAGGAAATCATCATTCACAAATGAATTCTATAAATTATGGTAAATATTTACAAGAAAAGTTAATTGAAAATTCACCTGTGAATTCGTTAGCCGTGACCGACAATGCTCCATACCACAACATTCAAATTATTCCAGCCCCCAACACAAATTTTAGAAAGGCTGACGTGGTGGAGTGACTGCACGAAAAAAGTATCATGTTCACCCATAACATGCCCAAACCCGAATTATACGAGTTGATCAAGGCAAATAAAAAGCATCATATTAGATAGAAATTTGATGATGTTCTGTTCTGAACAGGGACATAACGTTTCACCTTTCACCCTACCATCCGGATTTGAATACCATTGACTTCATTCGGGCTTCTGTCAAAAACAACGTGTCCTAAAAAATGTAACTTTCGAACTGGAAGATGTGAGGAAACTGACGACGCACGACTTTGATCAAATCACTTTCGAGAAATGGCAAAAGCGTTGCTGATATGTAGTAGATATAGAGCGAAAATATTGGGAAAAAGAAACATTCATAATCGTTCGAACAAAGGTGAATCCAATGATTATAAATTGAAATAACGATAGCAGCAGTGGAGATGAAGAAAATTTGTATTCAGATAGTGACTGTTCGAAGTTTATTTTTAGATAAGTGTACTAAATAAAATATGAAAAAAATTACAAGGTAGTCATATTTCATTTGCTACCCCAATCAAAAATTATACTAGGTACGCCACCAGCTGGCAAGGGGCTTTTCATAATCCAATAGTAATTTAGTTGAAAGAGTCTATACCTGCGCGATCGCTCGCCATCAACTGTAGTGTGTACCGTAGTTGTATTTGAATAGCTTTCAGATATATATTTTCGATAACCTCTTTCGCACCTCATAATTACTTTCGAAAAATTAGCAAACGGTGTATGGGTCTGCTGGAATATCTTGCATACAATAAATCTATTTCAAAATCACTTTCTCTGAGGATACTCAACAGTATTTGAACCATTTTTCCATCAGTCTATTCATGAACACATGTTGACTTGGGAGACGATTCGAGTATTTAAAATTTCTGTTGAACTCTCCAGGTACTTTTTCTTCTTGACATTCATTGTATTCCTACTATTTCCAAACGATTCATCTTGTATTATTTTTGATAGTTGGTTTTCTGCCTCTTCGTATCTCTATATCTCTACTTATTGCATTAATTATTTTTGAATAGATTTTTTTAATTCCGCTAATACGATTTCCACATTCAGTATTCGATATTTTCGAAATATAGTTGAAGAATTAATTTTTTTCAAATCCACTACCACGTAATTGATAAATTCAAAAAATAATGAAATCTTTGTCAAACACTTTTCGGCATTGCATAAGCCAGGCCGTGCATACATCAACACAAAGGTGCCGCTTGTAGAATTGACAGAAGGCTGAATCTATGAATATCAAAAATAAACGGGGCTCCCCTAAATATTTATTGTTATGCATGGTTACCACTCATGAGATATATGTCGAATGAAAACAGTGCTACCTGGTGTGGGAACTCAAATACTTCGTTTTCGGTCAAGGGGAAAATAAATCCTTGCTGATCATAAAAATCTTCAACTTTATTTCGATGAATGCATTTTCAATATCCAAAATAATGCAGCAGATTTTTATTTGAAATCCAGATTACGTTTCGATTTTTCGAAAAATATTTTGTTTACATTACAAACGTTCATACCTTCCAAAAGAGTTAGTTGTCTGACTAGAGTATTGGATGGAGAATTGAAAGCCTTTTCAAATCAAAAGCGCCTTTGAAAATTGAGAGACATTCCTGTCATTTGAAGGAACAATTCGTTCAGGCCAGTCTCAACTCCCTACACTGCAAGTTAATGGACTGACACCTATCAGAAAACAACTACTCCCCTGGCTAATACCACGAAGGGCGTTGGATTATATCCGACAGGTGTCAGAGCAGGATTCTTCACTGAAGTTATTCCTACATACGATGTTTGATAATTGAAAATCGAATTCTTTCGGAGTATTATTCTTCGAACTAGACGAACAACAGGTTTGTCATCACCCCATCTGTCTGTGAACGACATAGCGCATATAAGAAATTTGCCCAATTTCTCTTATAAAGAAAGAAAACTTTCCACAGTCCATTCACCTACAGTGTAGGGAGTTGAGACTGGTCTGAACGAATCGTTCTTTAACATGATTTGATTTATAACCAGTCTTCAAGTATGTCCACTGACTATATGTCCATTTTCTCTATCAAAATATTTCTATCATTTTCAGTCCTCCATTTGAAACCTATTTTCTGTAAAATTCTACGAAGAGATGTTTCGGAAGCCACAATTCCCAAAACGTCATTAATTTTGTGTTGGAACTTTTCTACCATAATACGGCATCCTTCGGTTTTATGTAAATCGTAAATAATCCGTCTAATATTGGAATACTCATACCAGTTACTGGTGCTCTTCTAGGCCTCTTGGAGTGGAACATTTCACTTCTTCGTTATTTGCAGAAATGTATTACTTCCCTACGCTAACCACTCTTTCGATGGTTGTTATCCAATACCTGATACAAAATGCAGATTTGCATTGAACAGTTATTTTTTAAATTTGTTCAATGTTACCTATAGCGAGAGATGTTTCATTTTTCATATTTGATAACGTATCTGACTCACATTAAACACTTTAAAAATACTTGAACTTTTTAAAAATTATTTCACGTGCCTGACTCTTGATGACTGGTTTTTCGTTGAGCGATGACAATTTTTCAGAAACAGAAATTATTCAGACAATGCCAAACGCCAACAGCATTGGAGGACAAGTAACGATACACCTCTGTACAGAGCATTTGAGCATTCAGACAATGAGATAAATTTTGTTAATGTTTTCAACGCAATAAGATATGTATGATTGATGACTTGTTTATTTTGTGGTAATTCATGATCACTTTGATGAAATGAATAAAAATCACCACTTGTTAATTTCATTTATACGCCCGGTTTCGATTTTAACCCCATCATCAATTATACTTGATATTTTCATGTGTTTCTATTCATTCCATTGAAGTGGCAATAAGATACATTGATTGGGTCATAAAATTGATTTTCAATGCACCAACAGCTTCCTATAGAAGAGGATGGTGAAAGCAGTCAATACGAGTAATCAGGAGGAAATTTAGAAAAGACCACCGTGAATAATGGAAAACATTCACTCTTTTATGTGACTGTGAAATAGTTGACGAGAATGTTTTGAAAACTTCAACAGTCACCATTGTAATATAAAAGATATATGTATATACGGTTTTATCTATTAATATCGAATATACCGACCGTTTTCAGTGTGATGAATGCTCATTTCTGTTTCATTTATTTCTTCAAATAAATTTGAAAGCGGCTTTCACCAGATGCAGATTTCTCCACATCAAATTTTGAATATCAAGGCAGGTCCGAAAAAGCTGTAGGGTTCGTGTCGATCGCACAAGAGCCGGTCTTTTTGAAACCCAACTACACCGTGTACCTTTTCGAGATAGTTTTCCTTCTAAGTTCCATTCTGAAACGCGGCGGGAGACTAATACTTCTCGTATAAGGAAAGAAAACTTTTCACAGTCCATTCACCTATAGTGTAGGGAGTTGAGAATGGTCTGAAAGAATCGTTCTTTCACATGATTTGATTTATAGCCAGTCTTCAAGTATGCCCACTGTCTATATGTGAAAAGTTTTCTTTCCTTATACGAGGAATTGGACAAATTTCGGATACGCGGTTGGTCACCTTCTTCACAGGCAGATGAGGCTATGACAAACCTGTCGTTTGTTGTCCGCTTCAGCCTAGTTCGATAAATGATAATCTGAAGGAATTCGATTTTCAATTATCGGAAATCATAGACTTTATGCTGATGATAGACACTACCTTGCACTGACGAGTGGCCAAACAGCTCGAAACCGGTCTGCAAGTGTGTTCCAATAATTGAAAATCGATTATGGCAGTTGCATCGCTAACAGCATAGGCAGGAATAATTTCAGTGAAGAATCCTGCACTGATACCTGTCGGATATAATCCAACGTTCTTCATGGTATTAGCCAGGGGGGTAGTTGTTTTCTGATAGGTGTCAGTCCATTAACCTACAATGTGGGGAACGAATTGTTCCTTCAGATGATTTAATTTAGACTCAATCTTCAAGTATGCCACTGACTATATGTAAAAAGATAACATTCCTGTTCACAGGGTTGGAAATTCTGCAATGGTTTCGAAGTCAAAACTTGTTCCCTTCATAAACACGTGTTTCTGAATCTCTGCAGAATATTCTTTTTCTCATTTTGTCTTGATTTCATATAAGACTGTCCATATTTTTTCAGCTGACATCGGTCAATCACTATTTGGATCTGTCCATTGTTTACGGTAAAGATGATGAGGAAAATCATCAACTGAGAAATTTTGAAGGAGGTCGTCTGAGAGTGGAAAAGAGAGAAGGTCACCAGTGGCCTCCCAGGGCCGTGAACGCATCTGGAACTTGCCGTTTGAAGAAACCAAGAGATGCTTGTTATCTCGCTGGTGAGTGAATTGTGGGTGCGGTGAGTGAATAACATGAGTGCAATTTACGAACCCTCATTGCCTTCTGGATTTTATTGTAAAGTTCATAATGAGACAGCGGAATCTTTTTTTGGTTCTCGAATGATAGCACAGGGTTGCTCTAACAAAGACTTTATGAGAATGAGTTGTCATATTTCTAAACCACATAAAGAAACAACTACCCCAAATGTGTAGAGGGCTTCAGAAAATGGTGATTTTCAATTATAATGAATCGCATCTTTCATGATTGATATTTTTGTGGTTTTTTTATTGTTACAGTGACGGAACTAATATATAAATGCATTCATAGGTGGAAGACGGAGTTGAATTTAATTGATTTGTTTATTTTGCATTCAACGAGTTATGTAAATGTATTTTCTTTCTTTCATGATAAGTACTCTTCCTCATTCTTTGAAACTTCGAAATCAGCACATTTCATCAGCCAAAATTCTTCAGGTAATAAAAGAGTCTAATTTCAAACATTTTCAACACTTTATCCAAAACCTTAAATATGAAATATCGCTAAACAAGTATATTTCAATAATCTTTCGACAGTAATATAGGTATGACATTCATTTCATGAACTATGTAACACAAGACTTCACTCACTACCCATCTAATATCTGGATAAACTACTACTGCACAAATTTGTTGAATGTTTGTTATAACCAACATATGTTTCTTAATAATTGTCTCGAAGAGATACCAAAGGGAAAAAAAAGTTCTTGTAATTTTTAATATATGGAAACAAATCTCAGATATACATATGAATATTTATTGTTAATAATTATGAAAATATTATTTCAATTTCTCAAGAAATATCAAAAATTCAAGAGACAATAATGATACAAAACAAAAGTTTAGGTTGATTACCTATCTTAACAGATTTTTTTCTGTTTTCACTCTATAGTATTCTCAGCATAGAAGAATTTTGCTTTCAGGTGACACCAGAGTCAATCAAAATCCCCAACTGACGCTTCTCCAAATCGTCCTCCTCAGAGAACACAACAGAATAGCCGACGTTCTTTCCAAGTACAATCCCCACTGGAATGACGAGACCACCTTTCAAGAGGCAAGAAAAATCAACATCGCCCAGTACCAGCATATTTCATATTATGAGTGGCTTCCAAATTTCATAGGTTGGGAAAATTCTTTAAAAAACAGAATAATATGGAACACCCAAGACTTCGTGACTGATTATGATGAGAACATCGATCCAAGGGCGTTGAATGAACATTCCAATGGAGCATTTAGGCATTTTCATTCGCTGATAGCTGGTCAGTTGCAGTAAGTCTTGTCAGGACGATTTTACACCTACTAATAATTCTACCCATTGAACATTATCCGGTCAAATTCAACCAAACAATAGGAGTGAAGGTACAAAAATTTGCACACACCTCGAAATTGGTAGGATTGTTCAAAACATTGTCATAAATGAAATATTGAAAATCTTCATCGATCTGATACCTGGAAAAAAATTTACTCGGGGTCAAAAGTCATAAAAATAAAAAATTGATGGATGTAGCTGATACTACGTGGTAGGATAAGATCATAAAAAATGAAAAATGAAACTCTCTATGTTCTTATATCACTTGGTATTTGCAACTAATGTTGCTTCAATTTCGTCCTACTCGAACATTTTCAATCGAATAAAATGAACGGTTTTTTCGCGATATTCAGCAGAATGGTCAGGTTTATCATGAAATTAGTTTCGTCAAAATTCGTAGATCAGATAATTATATATAAAAAATGTTGAAATACTTTTTTCCTGAGAGCCACTGTTTCTGAGATATAACGATTCAAAAAGTTGGTAGAGTTGTAACCGTCATATTATGCACACGTTTCCTCGCCACCTTTGAGGTAGTGTACTTAAAGCATATCTTCAACATGATTTCCCCAGTGGGCCTATTCCACGGATCTGTTGTGATTTGAAACTATTGAATAATCAAAGATATTGGTAACTGTTGAAAATGATAAAAGTGATAATGATAAATAAAAAAAAAATATGAAAATTGATTCATCTCATTCATAATTCTCTAATACTTCTGTTTTCTCTTCTTCTTCTTCTTCTTCTTCTTGTCCTCCTCAATCTGCTTCTTCATCCCGGGTGCAAGTGAATTGCCTCAAAAATGATACATCGCATGTCTCCTGATTGTTATCAAACAATCTTCAACTGTTGTTGATTCATCACCATGCTAGAGAACAAAACAACCCAACTTCTTTGCAGACACATTTAGCACTACTTCCTTTTTCACAGTGGCAAAAATTTATGTTAAGCAGACCAACTTCCAACCCCAGTTTTTTGAGTCTAGCTAATAACCAAGCGACACTTGAACTTGAAAATATACTCGTAAAGTATGTTTATGAGCAGCCGCTGAGGTTGGAAAAAGAGAAGCCAATTACGCTTGTTTTTTATTTCGAGTATTCCTAACTAAGAAGAGAGCAAATTCTCTTGATGATAACTTCCTGTGAAGTTGAATTACTCTTTTTAAAAACTTCAGCACATTGAACTGAATCCTGTTTTTGAAACATTTTGAAAACTGTTTTCACGTCTCCTGATAAATGCAGATGTCGTATCATAGCCAGTTGTTGCTTGTAAAAATAGTACATGATTTTAACACTTTTCGAAGAATATATTTCCGATTGATGTTGAGCTTGTTCATGTTTGAAAAAAAAGGTTTTTTCGATTGGAGTTCGGGAAGTGAATAATACGTGTAAGTCTAAGTCTTTACCTACAACGATAGTTGTATTTATTGAATTGCTCAATTGCTGTTGAAATTATTATTACTTCAGCATCATTATCAGCTTTTTTGTCGATATATTTGCAGCAGTAAACTTTTATTCCAACATTGAAATGAACCGAGATTTGTTGAGAGTATTTGCAAGGAATTTCTGTTGACTGTTAAGAACTGTCATAGATTGATCAAATACTTCTATGACGTGAAATCATTAGTCATCAAATACGATAGTTACTTTGAGAAAATTCATCAACTCTTTCAGTACTTGCATTTATTAATGTTTTTATACCACTAAAGTAATAAGTACTCTTCTGAAAAACGAGAAATAAAGATAATTGTTTCCTTCATAGAATGTTGAAATCATCAATATCCTTGCGAATAGTCATTTCTTATGATCTGAAACGATAACAAAATTGTTGTGAAAAATATTTGCTCATCTGTTATAATTTTCATATTAATCATTACAAAAACATTTTTCTAATCGATTGTTATTCTGCAGTTTGGTTCACGAAAAGAGATATTCACAAGGAAGTGTCCGTTTATCTGATTGGCTGGTTGATCCCGAGATTGTGGAAAACAAATTCGATGAGTTAACACGTGGTCTAACCACTCAACTTCAATTTGCATCTGATCAGTATCATGATAGCGAAGTGAGTAAAATACTTTTATACACTGTTTTCTAATAGTAAGACAGGTTCATAATACTTTACCGGATCCACCCTATTTTGTATCGTAAGCGGGTCGCCAACAGAATATTACATGAGGATTCGAGTCATTCTCTACGTACAGTAATGTGCGTTTGGATATTCAATGAAAATTTCTTGCTGAAAATAAATATCTTTATTTATTAATATACTAATAAAATTGGTTCAGCATACTGATTTGAAATAAACACATATTGATCAATAGGTTTAATTATTTGAAAACATGTTAATTAGGTAGACGTGTTCAAGAAACAATTTATTGCGAGTTTTTCACTAAAATAGTGAAAATATGTACTATCGGTAGACTGCAACTAATCAATCTTCAGAAAATGTTTCGAAATGTGAATAATAAAAATCAATTTTGTCGTTAGTTACTCTCACTATGTAATACAAAAAACACTAAATACATCATCGAAGTGAATAAAAACATTTTGAATCATCGAAGACCAGTCTCAATTTCCTAAACTGTAGGTTAATGGATTGACACCTATCAGAAAACAACTACTCCCCTGGCTAATACCACGAAGGGCGTTGACTTATATCCGACAAATGTAAGTGTAGGATTCTCCACTGAAGTTATTCCTTCATATGATGTTGGCGATACAACTGCCGCAATAGATTTTCAATTATTGAAACACACTTGCAGACAGGTTTTGGGTTGTTTGGCCACTTGTCCGTTCAAGGTAGTGTGTATCATCAACATAAAGGCGATGATTTCCGATAATTGAGAGTCGAATTCCTTCAGAGTATCATTCCTTGAACTAGGCTGAAGCGGACAACAAACAACGGGTTTGTCATCGCTCCATCTGCCTGTGAACGAGGTAACCAACCGCATCTCCGAAATTTGCCAAACTCCTCGTATGAGGAAAAAAAACTTCTCACATAGAGTCAGTGGGCATACTTGACAAGAGAAGTTTGGCAAATTTCGGATATGTTGTTGGGTAACTCGTTCGCCGGCAGATGGAGCGATGACAAACTGGTTGTTTGTTGTCCGCTTCAGTCTAGTTCGAGGAATGATACTCTGAATAAATTCGATTTTCAATTATCGGAAATCATTAACTTTATGTTGATGATAGACACTACTTTGCACTGACAAGTGGCCAAACAGCCCGAAACAGGTTTGCAAGTGTGTTCCAATAATCTAAAATCAATTGCGGCAGTTGTATCGCCAACACCATATGCAGGAATAACTCCAGTGAAGAATCCTGCACTGACACCTGTTGAATATAATCCAACGCCCTTCGTGGTATTAGCCAGGGGAGTAGTTGTTTACTGATAGGCATCAGTCCATTAACCTACAGTGTAGGGAGTTGAGACTGGTCTGAACGAATTGTTCCTTTAGATGATTTGATTTATAGCCAGTCATAAAGTATGCCCACTGACTATTTGTGTAAAACATTTCACGCATTCGAACAATGCACTTCAATTAAATATTTCCTTTACACTTGAGAGTTTACAAAAAAGCGACACGTATGACGCCCGAAGATGCTTTTATATAGTGAAACACTTTGAATTATTTTTTGAATTGGGATTTTCATCAAGTATGGGCCAGTTCTATCATATTTTTAAAACATTTTACCTATTGCCAAAAAAATTATCTGGGGTATCACGATGGAATCTGTATATTTCCTCTCGACTGAATATCCTGAATTTTTGTTGTTGTTCACCCAACACCTTGTATTCTTGAAATTGCAGTTGTGGAAATTTGAANCTCAGCCCTGTGAGGTATCTTACATAAATGTCTGTCGAATATAATTCAATATCCAACGTGGAATTAGCCGGGGAAGTAGTTGTTTTCCGGCAGGCATCTACCAGAATCTACTGTGTAGGTATATTGGGAGATGTAAATGTTTCGATTTTTTTCGAAATATTTATTTTCTCGAAGTCTTTTCACTTTCGATATACAAAAATGTCAAAAAAGGAAGAAATAAACGTCAATCAATAAATTGATGGATGTAGCCGTTACTATGTGGTAGGAAAACATAATAACGTTTATGTTTTTCACCAGTTTTATTTGTAACTAACGTTACTGCAATTTCGTCCTATAAGGACGTTTTTAAACTACATAATTTTTTCAACGGCATACGGCATACACATGCCGTAGAAAAAAAAGCCCACGTAAATAATAATTCTTGAGTTTTTTAAATAACACTTCAATTAACAGTCGCGAGACCATTTGCGTTTGTTAAAATTACGTTCAGGTAAAACTAGTTTTTTCTGTGACGGGAAAAAAGTTTGACATATTATCTCTGATGACAGGTAACAAATTGTCACTTTTTATGAATATAAAGTACAATTATCAAATGTGCATTGCATGAGTGATATGTTATTTGAACTTTACTGTACAATAGTCGAATTTTCTTGTGTTGAAATTAATTTTTTTTCTGCCATGGACACAATTGCCGTTGATTACCTGGTCGCAAATCGGGTGTGGGTGTTATTTCAGCACTGCCAAACGTTCTAAACACTTTATTAGCTATTTCTATCCTGTGTGATACCGATTCATCAACATACCCTTTAGCGACCGTTGATTCAACTAAAAGTGTAGCAGATAATCTTCGAAATGAATGACCTGTATATGAATTGGCATTTTCAAATTGAAGAAAATTAGCCACTGCTTCAGGTTCCCTATAAAACTGATTGCTACCCACAACCTAATTGATACATTTTCCATTGTGATATGCATAAAACAGGCGGCGATCCTTTGCTGCTGCTAGACGAAGGGCTATGTACATTCGATAAAATTCAATATATTCTTCAAATCTCCTGTTAACATGATTCTTTGTTTGCTTGAGTTTCACAATTGATAAAGTTCACGAATCTTCAATATCATCTAATGTAACCTGGCGGATTTCACAAATTCGACAAGCTCCTGCAATCCAAAATACAACAACAACCTCGGCCATCAAATAAACTTCATCGGGAGCATTATTTAAAATGTCGCTGATATGTGTACTCGTAAATATCGCAGCTTTCTTGGACGTGTAACCTTCCCCATTTTGTTTCAAAAGTGTAATTAGTTTAAGATATTCTAAAATGTCTACATTATTATTGAATTGTAACATACTTTTAATCATTGAATAATTCGACTACACTGTTGATGGCTTTTGTTGTTCTGCCAGTTTCGAAAAATAAACCAATAATACCGTCTCCGAGAAAGAACTACATGTATTTTTCATCTTCCATTTTATGAATTTCAAATAAGCGGTTGCATAAAAGGTGGTGCGTTTTCAAGTTGATACCTTGTATTTATCGGATAAAATTTCACTGAAAATTTGCGCATGCGTTCATAAGTGCACACTATTTTTGGTTGCATATAAAATCAAGTTCTGGTCTTACTATTTATAATGAGGGCAGAAAACAGTTCCTGACATCTAATAGAACAATAATTTGGAAAGGCTTATTTCTCCAGTTTGTATCTTGAAGTTACATTTTTGCATGATATACACATCTTTGTATAGAGTTAATTATTTGAAATTAATTGCTTCCTTCCATTTTGAAAAATTCCCACATTGTTTGTATCTAGATGAAGAAGTAGAAGGTCAGAAACTTTCTTTGTCAAAAATTAATCTCTCCTGAAAATATACTCTTTCAATTTAAATACGATTCCTATGAATATTCCTGGATTTTTTTTCCCCAACACCAAATCGTTATTTTTAACACCTCGAAACGTGTTTCGATCACCAAGTGATCATCTTCAAAGAGGAAGATTGAGACTAGAAACTAATGCGAGCTAACCTATTTATGCTATATAGGAATTCCATACAGGTAAACCATCCAGGCGTACCACCCAACATTATTTTATTTTAACAAGCTATATAGTAGGTTCTTTGGAATAGGTCCATCATCGAGATTCATAATATTATTGTGTTTACTTATTTCTACATTCCCATTCCTATGAGAGCTCTCTTAGTCATCTAGTTGCCTGTTGTTGTTAACTTGTCTAACTAATCTTAATGAACTGAAGTCTATGGAATGGTTTTGTTGCAAAATATAATGGACGACTGCTGGTTTTTCTGTCTAACTAATCCTAATGAACTGAAGTCTATGGAATGGTTTTGTTGCAAAATATGATGGGCGACTGCTGATTTGTCAGGTCTTCCCTATTTTAAGTGTGCTATGTATTCCTCATATCTTACTTCAATAGATCTTTTTGTCTGTCCATAATATTGGAAGGGAATGAAGGGAAGTCCAAAAGACAAAGTCTAGAATTCGGAATAGTCTGAAATTTACGAAATTGACTGCGATGCAAAATATTTTGGACAGACAAATAGATCTAATAAAGTAAGATATAAGGAAAACATAGCACACCTAAAATATGGAAGACCTGAAAAATCAGCAGTTGCCCATCATATTTTGCAACAAAACCATTCTATAGACTTCAGTTCATTAGGACAAGTTAACAACAGGCAACTAGATGCTTATGAGAGTGTAGAAATAAGTAAACACAATATTATGAATAACAATGACGGACCTCTAGAGAGCATACTATATAGCTTGTTTAAAATAAAATATGTTGTTGGGTTTACTGATTACTATATAAGGACACATTGCAAAAATAAATTTGGATAGGCAATATTGTGAAATTAATTTTTATAAAGCTGAACATTGTATATAAACATATCTATTATTTCACAATATGAGGCAAAATTGATTTAGGCTGGTATACCTGTATGGGCGGTACACCTGGATGATTTACCTGTATGGAATACCTATATAGCATAAATAGGTTAGCTCGCATTTGTTTCTAGTTTTAATCTTCCTCTTTGAAGATGATCACTTGGTGATCGAAACACGTTTCGAGGTGTTAAAAATAACGATTTGGTGTTGGGAAAAAAAACACCAGTAATATTCATTACTACACCAAAGAATCCAAACAGTGCATCATAAGTACGATTCCTATGGCTGGGATTTAATCAAATAAACGAATGAATGTTATTTACGTACTGTTATCGATGACATAGGTGGATTAAATCCAATCTATGACAAAAAGTTGTGATTATGAAGGAATTGAGTGTTTTTTCTTAAAATGTTATCTGTTTTCGCTACTGAAGGGCCGATAAGGCAAGTCTCTTATGGCGAAATATCGTATGTATAGCAGTGAACATGACAGTGTTTTATGTAAATGAGATTTCACTTATTTCATCAATTATATTGTGTAGAAATTATGTGAATAATATCTGAATAGATTCCATACGAATGTTTTGAATACAAAAGGAATGGGAAAAGTGTTTTTCGTATAATTCAGCGTTCATGTGAAAGTATTTGTTTCGAAAGCATTTTTCTTTCCCCTAATCGAATGTTCATATGAAAATAACTGTTACGTATAGAGTTTATACAGAGTTAATTTTTTTGAAATTGATTCCTTCCTTCGTCTCTTCAGAAGTTTCACACATTTTTTGTATCGAGATGGAGGAGTAGAAGGCCAAAAACTTTCTTTCCCAATATTTCCAATACGTTTCCTTTGTTTCTCACTCTATCAATAAAATTATAGTTTAAATCAATGTTTATATTAGACTTCCACTATGTTAACATAGACTGGTGTTTTCGACAAGAATAAATAATATTTTCCAGCGAGTATCCTGTTATTCAATTACATTCATTTTTTGCAGAATGTGGAAAAACTAGCCTCTTTGTATGAAACTCCTGATGACGTGGATCTGATTGTCGGTGGTTCCTTAGAGAAAAATGTTCCAGGGACACTCGCTGGGCCAACTTTTCTCGGAATACTCACAGAACAATTTTATAGAACTCGTACTGGAGACAGGTTTTGGTACGAGAATCGCAACGAAAACACTGGTTTCACGTTGCAGCAACTCCAACAAATTCGTAAAGCTAGCATATCGAGATTACTGTGCGATAATGGACATCAACTGGAAACTATGCAACAAAGAGGTTTTGAGCGAATATCTGAGAGGTATGTTGAATAGGTGGAAATAATAACAATTGCAAAATACAACTCATGAAATTATAAAACAACATCAAAAATCAATTGGCGCTCCGAGGCGATTTCATTGATTCCAGTGGCGCATTTGCTGTTTCAGCTGCAGGAAAACCCGGAAATAACTGCAGCACCACATCATCTGAAGATCTTGATCTGCCAATGTACTCTCTCTCTCTCTCATAAAACAAAAAGTAGGGAGTCTTCAGAGACTCCAATAAATTCAATACATCTCCAGAACACTTCGTGACATGACTATCGTGAAATTTAAACCCGTCCGTTTCGTCTTTGACCAAGGCGTAATAATGATCAGATTCAACGACAGAACCATAGTGAACAATGACTGACAATGATTATAATACAGATCTGCTAGACTGAAGTGTTCATCTATTTCGAACCATCGTAAGAGTTTGGTGCTTCCGTCAGAGGTTGAGTCATGTTTGAAGATTATCAGTGTTATTATTAGATTAACTGGGGCCTCAGCTATACTTTGGCGCATGTTGGCAATACAGTCGATCATCACCTGTTGAAAGTGTTTCAGTTTCAGATGATTTAACAATAAGCTTTGCACGGACTGGTTATTAGTCATATTAGGAAACGCTAGTTGAAATTCCAGAAATTCACATACATTTTTGCTACCTCTTGAACATTTACTACTGTAGTGGAACTTTGAAATGTTTTTTTTTTAAGTTCAACTTTTAATTCGTTGGAAAAACGAATTAAAGAACATAGGAGTAGTTTTGTAAATAGAAAGACCAATTCCACATTTGCAAACCATCTTTTAGCAGAAGGACACGAGTTCAATCTTGAGTACGAGTTGTTACATTTAGAAGAGAAGAGTTTGAAACTTAATCATCTAGAATGTTTAGAAATCAATAGATTCAGGAATTCGGGTAATTTACTGAATGATCAATTAGAACTCAATAACTTATGACAAAAAGTTGTGATTATGAAGGAATTGAGTGTTTTTTCTTAAAATGTTATCTGTTTTCGCTACTGAAGGGCCGATAAGGCAAGTCTCTTATGGCGAAATATCGTATGTATAGCAGTGAACATGACAGTGTTTCATGTAAATGAGATTTCACTTATTTCATCAATTATATTGTGTAGAAATTATGTGAATAATATCTGAATAGATTCCATACGAATGTTTTGAATACAAAAGGAATGGGAAAAGTGTTTTTCGTATAATTCAGCGTTCATGTGAAAGTATTTGTTTCGAAAGCATTTTTCTTTCCCCTAATCGAATGTTCATATGAAAATAACTGTTACGTATAGAGTTTATACAGAGTTAATTTTTTTGAAATTGATTCCTTCCTTCGTCTCTTCAGAAGTTTCACACATTTTTTGTATCGAGATGGAGGAGTAGAAGGCCAAAAACTTTCTTTCCCAATATTTCCAATACGTTTCCTTTGTTTCTCACTCTATCAATAAAATTATAGTTTAAATCAATGTTTATATTAGACTTCCACTATGTTAACATAGACTGGTGTTTTCGACAAGAATAAATAATATTTTCCAGCGAGTATCCTGTTATTCAATTACATTCATTTTTTGCAGAATGTGGAAAAACTAGCCTCTTTGTATGAAACTCCTGATGACGTGGATCTGATTGTCGGTGGTTCCTTAGAGAAAAATGTTCCAGGGACACTCGCTGGGCCAACTTTTCTCGGAATACTCACAGAACAATTTTATAGAACTCGTACTGGAGACAGGTTCTGGTACGAGAATCGCAACGAAAACACTGGTTTCACGTTGCAGCAACTCCAACAAATTCGTAAAGCTAGCATATCGAGATTACTGTGCGATAATGGACATCAACTGGAAACTATGCAACAAAGAGGTTTTGAGCGAATATCTGAGAGGTATGTTGAATAGGTGGAAATAATAACAATTGCAAAATACAACTCATGAAATTATAAAACAACATAAAAAATCAATTGGCGCTCCGGGGCTATTTCATTGATTCCAGTGGCGCATTTGCTCTTTCAGCTGCAGGAAAACCCGGAAATAACTGCAGCACCACATCATCTGAAGATCTTGATCTGCCAATGTACTCTCTCTCTCTCATAAAACAAAAAGTAGGGAGTCTTCAGAGACTCCAATAAATTCAATACATCTCCAGAACACTTCGTGACATGACTATCGTCAAATTTAAACCCGTCCGTTTCGTCTTTGACCAAGGCGTAATAATGACCAGATTCAACGACAGAACCATAGTGAACAATGACTGACAATGATTATAATACAGATCTGCTAGACTGAAGTGTTCATCTATTTCGAACCTTCGTAAGAGTTTGGTGCTTCCGTCAGAGGTTGAGTCATGTTTGAAGATCATCAGTGTTGTTATTAGATTAACTGGGGCCTCAGCTATACTTTGGCGCATGTTGGCAATACAGTCGATCATCACCTGTTAAAAGTTTCAGTTTCAGATGATTTTACAATAAGCTTTGCACGGACTGGTTATTAGTCATATTAGGAAACGCTAGTTGAAATTCCAGAAATTCACATATATTTTTGCTACCTCTTGAACATTTACTACTGTAGTGGAACTTTGAAATGTTTTTTTTTAAGTTCAACTGGTTTTCGTTAAAATGTGTGGGTTCGACAGAGAGGATAAAATGAGACAATTCTAGCGTATGCTGTTTATTCAGTGATGATTGGGAATTGAATAGAGCTGAAAACGTAAAATATTTTGGATGGAGGATGTAACAATACTTGAAAATTATGAGTACTCCTCATTGAAGCTAACACATAATAAATTCGATATAACTCACCCAAAACCAGGTAATACATCAATATTTGTGACAAATATCTTTGTTGGGCACCCTAGGGCTTTCAACACTTCAAATCTTCGCATCAAAAATCAAAAGTAATTCTTTAATCCAATCTATGCGTTTTTAGGTTCGCTGTCCTTTTTAACCCAGTACAAAAACTGATCTTTCGTTACGAACCGAGGCTCCGTGCCATAAACAGCAAAAGTTTCAACCGCTACTGGCTGAAGCAGATAGTTGTTACCGAAATTTTGTTTTTTTCGATCCAATTTTTCGCCAGACAATGAATGCTGCAGTTCCAGCAGACTTCGAACTTCGGCTAGATGGGAAGCCGCGACTGTATCAACGCAAGTGAAGTCCCATACCACAGGCTTACCGTATTTCCAACTATTGATTTTCTGGAATATAAAAAAAGATTCCAGTAGCCGGTCGGTTCGACGTGGGTGCTTTTGTCACTCACTCAAATCGACTGATGTTGGTCGCTGGTTCAAACCCCAGGCTGAACGATCGATTTTCACTTGCTATCGTCCAACCCGTTTTAGGAATCACACGTTTAAACGTAAGACCTCGTTAGTCCTTAGCTCGTACAAGTTTAGAGGGTTGTCGTTCAAAGGGGTGTGACAACTGGTTAACGGAAAAACAGATTTTAAACAGACAGAGACAGACTGTCTAACTAAATCATGTACAGGGTGGGCTATAAAAAACATAAATGAACGTTAAATTATTTCAAATTGATAACTACTGCAAAACTTTCTATTTCCTGAGTATGTCTGTTACCCCTCGACTTTTTCGATAAGAATACGGGTTGTATCATATTTTATTGGAAACATTTCTCAACAACATTTTATGCTAGGTGGCTTTTCGAAATAGGTCCACTGTTCAGAAAAAAATGAATACACTCACTCTCGTCACTCTACAGATACAGATCTATCAAAATGTGTACAAAGTTGGGTTAATCAAAATTATTTCTTGCGTCGAGACTTTTTCAGAAAACAAAAGCGAAACAGTTCAACCACTATGGTATTTCTATGCATTTTGGTCATTGTCAAAATTTCTACTATCAACGAAACATAGCAAAGGTGCGTTTTTTATCGATTGGGAATCGAATCACAAGTGGTACAATGTAAACACAATTGTAATTCTTATGAAAAAAATCCTTTTCTCATTATACATTGCATGAAATTTAAAAACGGTGTTGTTTTATTACCATTTCGTTCTCATGCATTGGGCACGCTGTATATGTTTACTTTGAGAATCCAATTGATCGTATTTGAAACCATTTTCCGTAGGTAGTTTTGTTAAAAACAATTCATTCTTCGAATGATGAAGCAGATTGACTGAGTGATCACATAATTATCCAATTACTTCGTTTCCAGAAATCCACTTGTGAGATGCGACACCCTGCCTTCAATCGATCTATCTCTATGGAGAGAACAGCAATTCAACCCTGGAGGTATTCCTTTCATGCAGCCAAGAAATTTCATCTATTGAAGTGAATATCAATCTGAACTCCCTTATCTATTTGGAATAGAATTCAGGGAGATGAAAAATGTTATACAGTGCTGAGGTGATTATTCCACCCCTTTTAACTTTTGAAAAGGACAAGTTTCCAAAGTTGAACAAAATTAACTTGAAATTGTTTCATTTTCAGTACTTTTTCATACAAACCACAATAGTACTTCTTTGGGGTCCTATGATATTTCATTAGATGGTATTTCAATTATATATTCAACATTTTCTCATTTTTTGAAATCAGGTCAGCCAATCTTGAGTGATTAGCAGTTTCGTTTCGAAGATCTGCAAATATACGATGAATATTATTTGAAAAAATGAATATTTTCAAAATGTTCATCTACTTTCTGACAATAATGAAGTTTGTATCTAAATATACGAATTCATTTCTCTTATTATGGAATGTTTCTAAAATTATTTCGTTAGGATCACATCCTTCAGATATCACAAATACTCATAGAAAATTCAAAAGTGTCATATCAGGTGATCTACCGGGTCATTCTAGGGGGCCTATTCTTCGGTTTGGATAATTGACATACAGTCATCGCCAAACCGATCTTACCTTGATGAAACGTAACATCAGTTGAAAACTCACTTGGGTTGGACTTCCACGGCCGGAGTAATGATTGAAGAGAATAAAATCTGGGATGATAGGGAATGGTCGAGTGGAAATGAAAGTACCAAAAATTTCATCTGCTAAATTTTATCTGCTAGTGTGACAGACATAAGCTGTAGAATGTGCAAGATGTAACGTGCGTCCTCGCAGTCAATGCATAAACTAACGTTGATGTATGTCGCAGTACCAGACGAAAGGTTTGTTACTACAAGTTCCGTTCTATCATGACCTATCAGCCTGGATTTGATTCTCTTAATCATTTGGGTTTGTCGATACGAGGCCTCTAGATGTTTTTGAGGAGATGTATGATATGTGAAGCCGCAGTTAATTTTCAGAACTCGTGGATAGGAGGTGCTTACACCATGAACATTGCATATTGTAGGAAATAAATTTGTAAACAGACTTCATTATTATTAGGAAGCGATTGATATACATTCTGAACATTCTTTGGAATGAACTGAAGAAATTTTAGAAAACACCTATCGATCGGGATACCACAAGACTCCTCTTTCAATTTGATAATAAAAGCTGGACTTCAATATCTCGTTCGGAAGTCAAGAAGGGGGTAGACTATTCACGTCATCACTATATAGATTTTATCTTTCAAATGGGCTGTTTTTCGTATTTTATTGTTATCACTGAGTTTGCTATAATTGTTATTGTTATATTTTTAATAAAACATATTTTTGATACACTATTTCCGTTATATTGATTGACTAGAGATCCGAGACTAAGATCAGCATAGATAGGTAGCAAACATATCACCCTATATATTTTTTTCCGTCACAGTATCACATCAGCTTGTCGAATATTACTGTTGTTACCTGAAAGCGGTACTTTGGTAGATTGAAGTGCTAAATTTTCCCCTTCTAGAATCTGGAATATTTGAAAATAACTTGGACCATTCGGAGATACTTCTCGGAGTATACCCAGGGGCGTATTGAGGCTTGATGCTGCACTAGGTCCTGTTTATCGAGCCGTTCCCAATGTTACACTGAATTTTATTAATTTTGAATCAAAATTATAATTTCAATTTCAAAATAATTTCATTTTCATTTCGTGAGAATATAATTTCTAATTGTAGATAATAAACATTATAGATACATAAGTATTATTAAATGAATACCTTAATGATATATAATACATGCATATCTATTAGAATATTCATTTAACGCTGAAAACAAATTGTGAAATTATTCAGATTTAGTAATTTTTAAACACTTAACAAGCATATAATTAATTCAAGTAATGAAATAATAAGTACATCATTGGATAAAGACTACAATGGATCTATCAAAAACTCAACGGCTCATTCGTAGATTAAGAAGTAATTGAAAAAATTTATTTGTTAAATATTCTGTGAGAAACTTTTCATGAAAATTGATTTGATCTAATTTTCATTGGCTACGGAGGCACATCTTCACGTACATCAGGAGGTCGCATACCTTAATGAGGGTCTAGAAGTAATTTTGAATTGGGGTGAAAGTCAACAGGTTCAATTCAATGCCACAAAAACCCAGGCCTTGATTTTCTCCAAGAAGATGAATGTTTACGAACCGGATATCTAATGTCAGGTCAGACAATTCCGCTTTCTGCTTCAATAAGTTTATTGGGGGTTAAAATGGACACCAATATGTCTTAACACAATCATGTCGCTGAAATAGCAAAAGCTGCTTCTCAAAAGTTTGGAACACTGTTTAGAACCAGAAAACTTCACAGACCTCAGCAACTTTTTATGCTTTATAAAGCACAGATCAGACCTTCTTTGGAGTATTGTTCTAATGCATGGAGCTCTGCCCCCAAACATACCCTAAAGTTGCTGAATTTCATCCAGAATAGCGCCATCCGCCTGATTGGAGACGCGAATCTCACGTGCAACCTTGAGAACTTGGAATATCGAAAAAAAGTTGGAGATTGGTCTCTTTTTCATAGATGCTTTCAATTGACTTGGCACATTTGATTCCAAGAGCGGTACATATCAGAAATATGCGACGGACTGTAGCTGCTCACCGTTATGAGGTTCAGTTCAGTACACCTCGAACTTCACTGTTTAAAAACTCTTACATTTGGAGAACTGAATTCATATGTAATAAACTTCCTGAGAACGTTTTTCCAAATGGATTCAATTTCCAGGGATTCAAAACCGATACGAATCGCCAGGGCTTCACTGGCCTATCCAAGAAGTTCCCGTTTTCAAGTGAAGATCATTCTTCTGAACATTAAAAATTTTGCCTTCTAGATATTTTTGAAGCAGTTCGGAACATTCGAAAGTTTTAGACAGCATTCATCGACAACCTATAACATATTGGGTCATCATTCCAGAAGAGTTTCTGATAATGCGGAATGTCCTACTACTACTACTGCTCCTCATTATTAGGGGTTTAAAGGGTGTCCATTAAAGTTGCGGCAAAAATTTAAGGGACTATTTCTCGGACTATTCTATGATATTCTACTCATGAGTATGTTATTGAGCTAAGAGTGGTGACACTACTTTTGTTATTTTCAAAACAATGGATCACAAACAATTTCGTGTTTTAATTTTACACTGCTTCTTGATGGGAAAAAATACCATTCAAGCGAAACAATGGCTTGAAAAGTGTTATAAGGACTCCGCTTCATAACAAACAATAATTGAACGTTGGTTTGCTGACTTCAAAAGTGGTCGTACAAACACGGATGGTGCAGAACACAGTAGACTTCCTAATGAGGCAGAACACCAGAAAACAAAAAAAATCCACAAAATCTTTCTAAATGATCGAAAAGTGGAGTTGTCTTAGGAAGCTGACATTGTGAGAACGTCAAAAGAATGTGTCGACTTTATATTACATTAGCATTTGACTATGAGAAAGGTCTGTTGAAATTGAGTGCCACAATAGCTCACTGTTGACAAGAACGTCTTGTTGATTCTGAGCAGGGTTTGGCCATATTCAAACATAACAAACCGAAATTTTCACATCGATATGTGACAATGGATCAAACATGGATTCATCACTACACTCCGAAATTAAAACAATCGTCTTCTTACTGGACAGACACATGTGAACCTCATCCAAAGCGCACGAAAGCACAACAATTGGCTGGAAAGGTTATGGCCTCGATATTTTGGGATATGCATTGTGTGATATTCATCGACTTTCTTGAAGGGGTAATACCATCAGCAGCGAAAATTATATAGCGTTATTGGAACGCTTGAAGGCCAAAATTTCGGAAAAACGACCCCATTCGAAGACAAAGAAAGTGTCGTTTCATTGAGACAATGCACATTGTCACGAATCAATGGAAAATATAGCAAAATTGCATGAAACGGGCTTCGAATTTCTCCCGCATATACCATATTCGCCAGATTTGGCTCCCAGGACTACTCGCTGTTTACAGAATTCCAAAAAATGTTCACCGGTAAGAAATTCCGCTCGAATCAGTAGTTATCGCTAAAAATGAGGCCTTTTTGAGGCAAAAGATGAATCGTTTCACAAAAGTGATATTGAAATGTTACAGCGGCGCTGGAATGATTGTGTGTTTCTTACTGGAAATTACGTTGATAAATAAAACTAATTCTGAACAAAAAAGCACTTTCTTCCTTAGGGGGCCATCCACTAATTACGTCACACGAATTTTAGTACTTTTAGACCCTCTCGCCGTCCTTGTCACAGGTTGTCACATTTTTAGAACCCCCCGTGATGTGACGTCACGGGGGTTCAATTCTCAAGAAAAACGAAAGCAATGTCGAAGGTCTCGCAAGCAACCGACGCGTGGAATAGTGGAAAAGCGAGAGAGCACTCGCCGACGACTTAAACTTATTTTAACCCGTACCATTCAGAACTCCTGTGAATTTTCGGATCTCACTTGCATTACAACCCTGCTTTAGAAGTTAAATGTTTTTGCGTGAGACATTATCTCATAGCGAGAGTACTAAATTATTTATGAACATAAATCAAGTTCCAATTTTTAAATTTTTTTGTTCACATATTAATTTCATGTGTTGGTATTTTAAATATTAACATGTGACGTCACAAAGCTTTTGACTCCCCTGCCACTTGGCACACTATGTCACATTACGGTGATACTTTCCCCCCTCATTAACGTGTGACGTAATTTATGGATGGCCTAAAGGGCCATCCATAAATTACTCAATTTTTATTAAATTACTCAATTGTTATTGAATTATTCAATATTATCTTAATAATTATATTTAGAAGCAAGACATCTAATTCTAGACATCTAATTACTATTTTATAACCAATGTTAATTTATTCAATCAGGTAAATGTCGTAAACCTGTGCATTTATTTATGAAAGAACGGATCCTACCGATTTCACACTTTTTTTGCTTGCTCTCTCCCCCCTATATAGAGTTTGTACTGCTCAATAAATATTGATCATGACTGCTATTCAATATTGACGCAATGAACGGTTCACCGGGTTCAGCATTTTATGTTTGTCATACATATTAGAATTTCACTTGAAAATATGCATTGTCATAAAACACTCATGAAGAATTGATAAGAAATTATCAAACATGATAAAAGAATATTAATCATGATTCTCTTTCTGCCAGAAAGTCATTTTCTTTGAAGAAAATTACAGTTTTATGGGCCTTCTTTGGGTATTTTTCCCTTTCACAATTTGAAAAAAAAAATAAAAAATTGTAATGGAGAACTTTATACAGCTCTACAGATCTAAAGTGAGTGGGTCTATTCGAGCCTCCACCGCAACCCACAAGAGTTTATTGTGGCTACTTCATACAGGTGTAGAAAGGGCAAACTCTCTAGTACACACTGATGCATTTTTCACAAAGGAAAATCTTAAATTCATCAGTCATTTGTCGTATTTATCAATATAAAAAAAAAGCTAAAAAATTAAACAGATATCCATATTAACGATTCGTAAGCCAAAGTCTGCCTCCGTCGTCTGGAATGTGAAAAATGTCATTATTGTTTATTAACTTCCGAGTACAAGTTGTTCTCTGATATCATTTTGAAGATAGTTTGCCGCTATTCACATCTGTGGTGTGAAGCCAATTTATTATCTTCATCAAATGTAGCCTGGACCATGTAATTCTTAAAGAACACATCATCGATCATGAACTAGAGAACACATTTTTAGGCCTCAACATAGACAACAAATTAAAGAGCAGCTGTCAAAATTTCATGAGTCATGTTTTCACAATTCAAAAAGAGCAGTGAGATTCATTACCAGAGCTAGAGTCCAAGATTCCTGTAAGCTCCTTTTTTAACTCATCACATCTTAACAGTCTACTGCCTCTTTATTTCAGAAAAAGTCTGCTTAATGCACAATAAGTACAAAGATAACATCTCGAACTCAACTCAATGTTATGCCACTCGTCTCACTTTCAATAGTTCTCTTCATATCCCATCAAAAGCATAAATTGAAAACTCGATTCTTCATAATAGCACAAAATATTTCAATCAATTCCCCCTTTCAATCAGATAGTTAACCTGCTACAAACAGGTTCGAAAAAGAGTAAAAAATATCTGCTAGATGAAGCTCATTATATTATTGAGAAATTTCATTCGGATGACTTCGCAACTTGCGAAGATACTTGCAACTAATAAAATTTTTTATCACAGACTTTTACCATAGGCTTTTTGGAGTATGCTTGAGCCATATTTACGACTTTGTTTTCTGAGTAACTTCTGGCTAGGTATTATCTGCGTTGAAACCATTATGACCTATCTGT